GACTACATGGAGAGGCAGCTGGACTTCACCCTCAGCCCCAAGTTCTCTGGGTTTCCAGCCCTGATCAATCGCATGAAGGGCAATGGGATGCGGGTCATCCTCATTCTGGTTAGTTTGTGCGACTGTGTAGGCTGTGCTTGGGACAATGGATGGGCTTGAGGGGGATCACCTTGGAGTGTCTGTCCTCTCCTGTTTCAGGAGAGAAATAAAAGTGTAATTAATATAAATGTATTTCTGGGAGTCAGGGAAATGCTACAGTGAAATTACAACCGGGGACTTCCCTTTTTCCACCCACCTTCTTTGTAATCCTCAGTCTTAACTTTCACCTGCCTTGTGCTCTGATTGCAGGACCCAGCCATTTCTGGCAATGAGACAAAGCCCTATCCTGCCTTCACTCGGGGTGTGGAGAACAATGTCTTCATCAGATATCCCAATAATGGAGACATTGTCTGGGGAAAGGTATGAGCTTCGTGTTGATCCAGCAAGACTCACCCTGGGCAGAACCACTATTCGTGCTCTTCAGAACTGTTGATTTTGTGCCTGTTATGTGTGGTTTCTAAAGTTGCGGTTTTCTTTCTCTCTTCCTTTTTTTTTCTTTTATTTTCAGTTAATACCTGTTGATGTGCTTAAGAGCCTTTTTGGAATCCATTCTCTTTCAGAGCAACCCTACCTGACAACTATTAGTCCTAGAACCATTGCTTATAGTTTCTTAAGAACTTACTTGTATGAGCAATGTTCAGGACATTGCTATTAAATATTTTCTCTCCATAGGTCTGGCCTGATTATCCTGATATTGTGGTGGATCCCTCTCTAGACTGGGACATGCAAGTTGAGGTAAAAGGCCCTACATGTATGCTCAATGTAGTCAGGGTTGCCAGGAAGAGGCAGTCATGTGTGGGAGACTCGATGTGTCTACACTTAGGACAGAGACATGTGAGAAAGAATCACTTAAGAGCAATGGTCCTCTTGTCAGTCTGAGACCCATTATTTTTTGTGTCGCAATGTTTTACTTCAAGTTGTGATATTGCATTATTCACCATGAGATTTAAGACACAGTGTGCTCAAGTTTCCTGTCCAAACTTCTCCATGTCACAATGGCAATTTCAAATGCAAAGCTGTCAGTTCTTTGGGCTATGAACTCCCAACTGAATGCTAGCTCTATCAGTTCCAGCTTTGTCCTCAGTTATGATATCTTTTTCTCTCCATGTGTATTTATGTTCACACACAGGCTGTTCCATATCCACACATTAATCCCGCACCACCCTTCCATCCTTCATTGGGCCTCTTGACTTCCCTTTTCCTTTTAGTTGAGGTCTCTTATTATTAATTTGCTTTCTTCTGTGAACAGATTTTTCCATGTAATGGAACCAAGTAGCCTAGGTTTCAGCCCTAATTTTTTTTCTCATTTTCATTCGCATCTGTTGCTTGGATGAATAATTTCATTGACACAACTGGCAAAAGAAGCATCAGTCCTTTTTCTTGCTAAGATGTTTATCCAGTGCACTGAGGCAGCCTGTTAATTTTTTTAAATGAGTTTTTCTGATATACCTTTGAGCAGTGTTGACATGGTTGGAAGGCAGCTGCCCTTGAATGTCAGTATTTGCTGGACCTTTAACTCTTCCTTAATAATGATCATAATTGAGGAGCTGGAATTCCAGTATCAGTGGGTATGTTGGGAAGTGTAAGATAGTCCTAGTGTGCCAGACATGTGTGATGGTTGAGCTGATGATGAAGCTGGCCTATACATGCTTCACAAGGTACAGCTGAGATCTAGAAACCCTGTTAGATTCAAGAACTAATCAGGTAAGTCATCATTCTGGACACAAACATAGAAGTTTTAAATTTAGGTTTTAACCACACAAAGCCCAGGATCCCCTTGACCAGTCCATTCCATACAATGTAGATGGTTTCCAAATGCTGGGAAGGTATATTATTTGTGATTTTTAATCTTTACTCTTAAATTTTTTTCCAAATAAGTCAAGAATGTTATATCATATAGGCTCTAATCAGATCATTATTATGTACAATTGTGGAGTTATAAGAATTCATTAAGTTCTTATAAAATGACTGTTTCCTACATAATATCTTCATTTCCAATAAATGGATTGTATGTTACTTTGACAGCGATACCGAGCTTATGTGGCCTTTCCAGACTTTTTCCGTGATTCAACTGCCACGTGGTGGAAGAAGGAGATTCAAGAACTCTACACGAACCCACAGGAACCAGGGAAGAGCTTGAAGTTTGATGGCCTGTGGATTGTAAGTGTGTATGGATGTGTCTGTGTATACACGAGTATGGGTGTGTTTGTATGTGTTTGTGTTGTTTTTAGCATGTGGATCCATGACATTGGGCAAGGTGACAATAATTACCAGAAAAAGTTTTCAGACATAGCAAAGTGCCAGTCATCCAATCAAACTTAGAATTGTCCTTAACCTAGTACTTTGGAACCTGTCTGAAGTTCCTGGTGTAAAACTTCCACAACGATTAGTGGGAATTCCTTAAAGCATTGTTTGTCACCAGTGGGGGAAATAAACCATCTAGTCAATCATGGTGAGGTTAATTGTTCTTTCTGTCCTGTGCTTCACCAGTGGTTCATGACCCTCTCTGGGCAGCATCTATAGAGATGTTAGATATTGAATGTGTAACTACTTGTTTGTTCTTGAATTGATAGAACTTAAGTATCTTTAAAAATTATCCATAATTTCGCTATTTGTAGGATATGAATGAACCTTCCAGCTTTGTGAATGGGGCAGTTCCTTCTGGCTGCAGCAACGCTACTCTGAACCGTCCACCCTACATGCCACGTAAGGACCTTGGGATCTCTTCACTTGTTGCACAGTGGCTGGAAGGAAGAAGATGAGCTCAGTATCCTGGGGTGACCTTGCCCATCAAGGGAACCTCCCCACTATTATTATTATTAATAGGACATGAGACAAAAGCACATCATATTATCCAACTGGAGATGTTAGAAAATTTCTTGAAATTTTCCAGCAATCACTCAACTGTGCTAACGTCTCTGTGATGTGATAACTTACAGAATTTCTTTTTCCACCAATACATACAATGAAGTCACTTCCCCTTGTGGACTTTTGGAGTTTTGCCCATTTATAGCTGATCTTTATATACATGCCTTTTCTGAGTTGTGATAATTTCCAGAGACATCACCAAATCTAAGTTTCCAGAAGTATAAGAGACAGACAACACTACCCACTTACAGAAATATAAGAAAGATATGAAATAGAAATAACTTATGTATTAAAAGCTTATGGAACTAGAAGGATGATTCAGCAGTTAAGTGTGAATACTGTCCTAACAGAGGACCCATGTCAGGGGACTCAAAACCACTGGTAACTCCAACTCCAGAGTATTGGATGCCTTCTTCTGGTCTCTGCAGGCAACCTCTCTTTCTTACACACACACACACACACACACACACACACACACACACACACACACACGAATAAATTAAAAGTAAATCTTTTAAGGAAGCTTATATTAGGACCTGCTCCATGGTGAAGACTTGACAACCTATATTCTCTCCACACTTCCATTTTATTTAGTGAATTTGATGCTAAAAATGCCTTCAGTCACCTTGCTACTCAGAGAAGCCTATTGCTCTTATGCTCCTGGGTAGGGGAGTGTTACCCAGGCAGAGGTTGTTAGTCTTAATGTCTTCTAAAAAGAGGTGAAGAATTAAGAGTCAAGGGTGATCTTCACTGACATTTCATTATTTCCCCCAGATTTGGAAGCCAGGGACAGGGGCTTGAGCAGCAAGACACTGTGCATGGAGAGTGAGCAGATTCTTCCAGATGGCACCACATTACGGCACTATGACGTGCACAGCCTGTATGGGTGGTCCCAGACCAGACCCACCTATGAGTGAGTGACCCTCTCCTTTCTCAAGTTGGTGGCACCTGTAGAGATAGTCAGTGATGGGTTTATTTTCATGAATTTGTTGTTCATTTTCCATAAGAAGGGCTAGAAAGTAATCTAACTAAAACTTTGTAGATATTTGTGTTTATTAAGCAAACATTCTATGAGCATGTGGCCACACACTGTGATTATAGCTGGAAGCAAAATTTAAACAAGGTACCACCACACCAGTGGGAAATAGCACTGGTGAGGACCCACTCATCTGGGGACACCAGGTCATTACACATGTGGAAAGAGCCATAGTTAGAAGGAGCATCAGGTAGAAGAGACAGACAGGACCAGGAGGACTGAAAGGTCCCTCCTTTATCTCAGAACTGGATGATCCTTTTCGATGTCTGCTATTCTATTGTTGTGTTTGTTTCTTAATTTGGTCACTTTCATAAGACAGTCAATGGTTCTTTTATTGAATAACACCATGTTCTGTGCCCAATGTGTAATACTAATTATCTCCTGGGAAACTTTAGAAAGGGATTCCTATTCATCTTCTTCACATACAGAAAAATAAATACTGGGTAAATAATTAAGAACCCTTATTACAGGTTTACCTTTTTGGTGACAATCTGTGGGTTCATCACATGATGATTTTTTAAAAAATGATGAAAAGGCATGGAAAAGGTGTCCCCTGCCATTATCCCTGTCAGCCAGCAGAACGCTCCCAGATCAGATTCCCAAATTCCCTCCAAAGATGGAGCAAACATTGGCCATCATAAAACGGTTAAGAAGAGAAATTCTTTTGCCTTCTTTTCTCTGCCCTTCTTCAGTATAACTTCCTGTTTCCTCACCAGAGCTGTGCAGGAGGTGACAGGAGAGAGAGGAGTCGTCATCACCCGCTCCACATTCCCCTCTTCTGGACGCTGGGCAGGACACTGGCTGGGGGACAACACAGCTGCCTGGGACCAGTTGGGGAAATCCATCATTGGTGTGTGGTTGTGCCCAGGGGCCTCTGCTGGCTGTGGGTGGAGAGGGGAGTAGGGTCCTTGGTGAAGGGGGAAGAGCAGGCAGAGAATGAGTGCCTGTCCTGACCCTGCTGCATCTCTCCTTGCAGGCATGATGGAGTTCAGTCTCTTTGGCATCTCCTATGTAAGTGTCCTTGCATGCTCCTCCTCCCTAGGAAGGTGGTCTTATCTCTCAGAGAGCTCCCAGAGCTCACTTTGTTCCTTGTTGTTTCAGACCGGGTCAGACATCTGTGGGTTCTTTCAAGATGCTGAGTATGAGATGTGTGTGCGCTGGATGCAGCTGGGTGCATTTTACCCCTTCTCCAGGAACCACAACACCATTGGGACCAGGGTAGGATGTCAGCTTCCTCACCTATATTATGTCACTGGAAATGCTTCCTCAGTTTCTGAGTTCAATCCTGCTGCCTTTTTTCCTTGGGACATCATCAAAGTCATAGTCTTTAATATTACTTAGATGGCTTTTTGCTTAGGGACTATTTTCCATCATATCTCATGAAGAATGTCTTAAAATTTTTTTCCTGGTAGAATTTTACTGATTTTTATCAGTCCATTAAGAATACTCTAGGATTCCTAGTCACCATTTTATAAGGTTTATGATATGTTAGATGTGTGATATACAGTTTAAATAGACCTTTAATGACCTTCTTGAATTCTTTAGTTGTCTCTGGAGGACTTTGAACACTTTTCTTCTGTTTCTTTAGAGACAAGACCCTGTGTCCTGGGATGAAACCTTTGAGAATATTTCCAGAAGTGTGCTAGAGACCAGATACACCCTGTTGCCATATCTCTACACCTTGATGTACAAGGCCCACACGGAGGGCAGCACAGTTGTGCGGCCTCTTCTCCATGAGTGAGTATCGAGCTGGAGTCCTGTTGAGCAAGGGACAGTTTATTTATCATGTAGGATGGAAGTGGATCCCAACAATTTTTCCACATTGAGATGATAAGTCCCTTTTGTACGAGCTCTCCAGAGAATATCTCTATCACTCCTTCTAGTACAGTGAAATACATAACATTTGTGTTTGATATAAGATACTTACTGAAGTTCTATAATGAAAGCTCCCAGCATAGCACAATTTCTTTCTTTTAAGGCCCTACAAAGACTTCCCTATTTGTCATAGGGATTTTGTTATTTGAACCCTGACCAGAACATCTTCTTGTAACTTTAGTGGGCATTCCAGGGACAGATGACAAGGACCAGCAGATTATTGCATTGTAATGTGCCATGGTGAGGAAATAGAAGATGCGTCATGGCAGACAATGCATTTCTGAGGTTTTAAAAACACAGCATGTAGGAAATGGGGTCTATGTGATCCTTATCAGTCTAGTGAAATATAAAGAAGGTATGGAATGTTGCTGGATTTTTGACTTGGGTCTGAACTTGAGGACTTCTTCGAGGCCTTGTTCTGAGGCCCCACTGGGGTCACATTGGCACCTTCATTTCCTTTTCCAGGTTTCTGTCAGACCGGGAGACCTGGAATATAGACAGACAGTTCCTGCTGGGTCCAGCCTTCCTGGTCAGCCCTGTGCTGGAGCCTGTGAGTATGGAGACAGGAGGGATTCAGAATTCCACTGCAGGGCTGGTGACTGGGGTGACGCAGAGGCTGGTATGAGAGGGATTAGGAGACACACTCTCCTACTTTGCACCGGTCTCCTTTGCTCCTTCTGAGCCACGTGCCATGCCTTCGGTGTTCTTAGACCTTTCATGTCAGCCTAACATTTCAAGGAATAACCTTGTCATGTGTTTAAGGATGTAATTATTTCTCTGTGAGCTAAGGTAAGGTCTGCAGGGTCAAGTGCAGGAAATGTAAAGATTTCTTATTTTCCATTTTTCTTAACTAAAATGAACTGAGAACTATTTGTAGCAGTGTGTGATTTTTTCTTATCTCTTTTGTCCTGTCATTATTTTTTAGGTTATAATGTAATTTCACAATTTCTCTCCTCCCTTCCCACCATCTTTTGAAACCAGCTAGCTTTCCCTTTCCTTCTATACATGGTCTGGAAGCTAGAAAAACAATTGATTTATTTACTCTGTGTATAAAGTAGCTTTTAATAAAATGAACAGATTATTTACACCTCTTGCATCTTTTTGAGGCTGCACAATTTTCTTCTGCTCTGTGGTCAACATTGCCTATTTGTTCCTTAGGGAGGGGATGAATACATCTATAAGAGGGTGGTGTTTGTTTTTCTCTGAAGTCTTGTTACCTGAAGCGCTTTGTGAAAGCACTTGTTTTTGGCAAGCTAATTTCTGTTGCTGGAAAAGGAGGATCTTCATCATTGATACCATAAGGGAGATGAAATAATAATTTTGTTTAATTCTGTTAGTTTTATTATTAACTCTGTACCAATTCATGCTGGTCACTGTGAGCAGAGTCCACTGCTCACACGTTCTTTGTCTTTTATTGCAGAATGCCAGAAATGTCAATGCCTATTTCCCTACATCCCACTGGTATGACTATTACACGGTGAGTTTTTCTTTATATTTGTACAATTCAGAAAGTGGTAGCATACAGAGTGTCTGCATATGATAGATACCAAGTTTCATGCCACTTTGGGAAATCACCTTTTGTGGTCTTGAGTGGCCACTTTACATTTTGTGGCCTCATTTCCTAGCTTCTCACCATGACCAGTCACCTTTCAGGCAAGTGTTCTGCAGTGGCAGGCAGAGTTCTCCTTGGTGTCATGATTGGTGGAAGTCTTTCTGTTTGAGTCTGTGGCTTTGTCTTAATATCATTCCAGTGGTGAGACACCAGTAAACTCTTGAAATTATGCTGTAGGTTTCATTTTTGTTTATAAAGTTCTTATTCCTCGAGATCTTTTCCTCTTTGCATTTTATTAAAAGCAGACTTCAGTGCTGGAGATATGGGCCAAAATGTAGGTGTGCAAGGATAGAGGCTATGTGTCTGGAGTTTGATTCCTAGATCCCACTAGGTGGCAGAAGGGGAGAAACTCCTATGAGTTATGCTCTGATCTACACACACACACATACACACAAGGCACCCCCCCAATGGATAGACAGATAGATAAATAGCACACACACAGAGGCACCCCCCAATGGATAGACACACACACACACACACACACACACACACACACACACACACACACACACACACATATATAAATGATAGATAGATACAGTTTCAAAGTCAGTCTCTGCAGTTTGTAAACTTAAGGATAATTCCTCTATATCATTGCCCGAGGTTAATAGCTATGAGACATATGTAAGTATACAAAACACATAAAGATACATGTTACAGGACTTGGCTGAGTTACTCACATGTATTTACTGATGAGAATCCAACAAGAAGCTCTCTATGATGTATTGCTGGCCAGTGCAATCTAAGGGTCCAGGTGAAAGAACATGGTATTAGAAGTTCGCTGTCCTCTAAGAAAAGGAGGAGGAAGTGGCAGACATAAGAAGTCAGAGCCTATGCCAGTCCCTTGGGGCACAGTCCCAGGGGATTGCTGTAAGTGGGTGAAAGCTGTGTGAAGATTAGCAGAGTGCATTTCCTCCTCTTCTTTGTCTTGGGAGCACTAGACACTCCTCCCGATACTTTGTTGTTGGCTTGTTCTGCCTTCAGGGTGAGAATGCTCTAGTGCCTTCTGAGTGGACAGCAGTCAGCATAAGTGATCCTTGTGTTGCCTGAATTTCATGTTGTTATTCCTCCTTGTTAAGGGAAACCTTCTGGGTATGTTGGGAGTTTCTAATATAGGACCTGAACTAGGGATAAGTAGGGAGAAGGCCAGGACACACAATTTAAGGAGGCCCAGTACTGTAAGGCTCACCCTGCCTTTACATGGCCTTGAAAGCATAGACCACCTTAAAATTTGCACCCTAGGCATCTTCCTAGCCTGTTATAGTGCTGACCTTACCTAGTAAAATGCTTTTTGTTGAGCAGTAGGTGTAGAATTGCAGCCTGATGAAGCTGAGCACGTAATCAGTACTTAAGGTTTGTTTATCGAAAGTAGTGGCACATAAGTAAATGGCTATAGGTACAACATTTTAAAAGTGAAGTATGATGGCTAATAAGAGTTTCCTGGATTGGCTAATTTTATTTGTGGCTTTTAAATAGAAGGTAGTTTCAGATAAAGGGGTGGTAACTGAAATCCCCCTCAAAGGCAAAAGTTAATTGAGCAAGCTGTTCACAGAAAAAAAAATTAAAATGATGTTTACTTAAAACAAAGATGAACTGGTTGGAATTGCTGAGAAAATATTGCCTTAGCTATTATTCATGAGCTACAGATACTCAGTATTTTTCTTTGTTCTTTTCTTTTCTTATTTTTTTTTAAGGGGGAAAGGCAGGGATAGCTAAACAGTGTGTCATGTATTTTTACACTTCTTATTTTCTGTTGTATTGGATCACAGCCATACACAAACTATATGAATACTCCTTACCTCTAAAGCAACAGTGTTTAGATACCTAGCAGAGGACAATTGCAGTGTCTCACGGTCATTGTGGGATGGGGTAATGGAGCTGCTAGTGGCCTCTATGGAACAGACACCAATACTGCTACTTTCTATCCAAAAGCATAGAACAGCCTCATCACAAGAAGGACATATAATTCACAAAATATGAATGGAACCAATGTCAGGGAGATGTAAGTGCTGCTGTAGCTGAGACAGCATAGGAAGTTTTGAGACACACGCCAGGTCACACTGCACCTCACATATAAGAGACTAGATGAAAGTGTTGAGAGAACATAGAGTTGGGTATATCCTGTTAAGGATATTTAAACAATAATATTTCCTTGGATGTTTTCTGTGAAGCAGGAGTCGGAAGTGTTAGTTACCTGGTAGGTGTATGAGAACAAGTGAGGAGAGATGGAGAATCTGTGGTTTCTTGGTGAAAGAGAGATCTAGTATTGTTCTCAGGGGAAATGTTTCAGGAACTAAGAAGGAGTGGCAACATTGCCCAATGTAACCTCCCCCCCCCCCAAATTAGAAACAGTTTGTGCAGTGAGAGTGTTTGGATCCACAGGAAGACCTCATCTGGCAGGTGCTGTAACTCTCCCATAGCTCCACTCTCCATAAGGTCAGGGATTCTAACAGGGTCTTAAAGCTTTAACACAGCAGAGGGGAACAAAGTGTGATAATGACCTATGTTGAATGGTGGTGACCGGGTTGTTCAGGACCTGCTGGCTGTCCAGGGAGGTGTGCATTCTTTCCCTCATCACCTCTTCTCCTGCCACAGGGTGCAGACATTAATTCAACAGGAGAGTGGAAGATCTTGCCAGCCCCTCTTGAACACATCAATCTTCACATCCGTGGAGGTTACATCTTGCCATGGCAACAACATGCCCTGAACACACACTTAAGGTGAGTGGTGGGACTAGGGCTCTGCTTTGAATACTGTGAGCTCATCCTTTTGTGATGAAAACCGCATTTACGTCAAGCATGCCTCTCAAGGCCAAAAGCAGTTTTCATTGTGCTATATGTGAACGTGCTTTGCCCCTTTTCACAAATGGGTATTTTGTCCATATCTGTGGAATGTGGTGAGGAAGGATGCTGATGACTTCTGCCTGCGCGTGTGCGCATGTGTTTACACGCATGTCTGCATGCAGGATTTTCCTTGAACTCTTCTCGAGAAGCTGTAGTATATAGTCTGAAGGTTTCCCCAATCCTGCCTGGCCCTGAGGTCAGGATAAATCTTTCCCAATCACGTCCAGCAGCTACTTGGTCCCAAGTAAACACACAGAGGCTTGTATTAATTAAAACCACTAAGCCATTAGCTCAGGCTTATTACTGACCAGCTCTTACACTTAATTTAACCCATAATTCTTATCTATGTTTAGCCACGTCACTTGGTACCTTTTCTCAGTTGTGCCTTGTCATCTTGCTTCCTCTGTGTCTGGCTGGCTATCGTTTCCTCCAAATTGTTATCAAACTTCTGAAAGTGCCACTCTACACTCTCATATCTTTTATCATGTCACTTTTTACTCCCTACTTTTGTTGCTTGGCAAGTGTGTTGAATGGGTCTCATAATGTTAAGATTTAGGAGTTGTGTGGATTTATCTTTATATTTATTATCATTTTAGCAATGACAGCTTAATCCATGGACAGTAAAGGAAATCAGCTGATTTTGTTGATAGTAGGGTGTGATCAGGTAGTGGAAGGTTGACCTGGAACAAATACAATAGGAAGCCTGCGGCCAGTGAGGTGCCCATGAGGAACAAACATGAAGCTGCTGTGTTTTGTTTTGTTTTGTTTTTCTCAAAAGAAAGTAATAGACATTAGAATAAGTAAAACTAGTCAGGCAGCCATAGCGGTGTATAACAGAATTAGCACTTGACTGGCAAAGGTAGTAGGACCATGAGATCATGACCATTCTGGACCAGGGAGCCAGCTCTATGCTAGTCTGAGCTGCTTGTCTCAGATTAAACAAACAAATGATTCCAAACAAAGACACTCAATATAGAGTTACCATTATATAGGTTAATCTTATTTTGTGTGTTTCTGAGTAAACATTTTTTTTTGGCAGAGAGAGCATATCTAATTGCAGCAGCTGTTCTAGTCCTTACAGGATGGTCTCTTTAG